GTGCCAAGCTGTCCATTATGTGACTCTGACACATGCTACTTCGTTTCTTCTTTGCCTTTTGCCTTCCAGGAAATGTTCCAAGATGCACACCCGGCATTATGGCTCTCATGTCAATGCTACCCCCGACAAGTCCCCCACCCGAAGAGCAACTGCCAAGCAGATTGAATGCTGATTGTTTCATTCATACAATGCAAAACCTGCTTAACATCAGTGACACTCCTATAGTTGGAGGCACCTTCCAACAACTTCCCCGGGCCATTCGTCAATGACATCATTCGAGCCCACCAAACTGAGACTCACCCACACGCGCTTGCGCTTGCACACACAGCGTCCAAACTCAACAAGTAAGCACGGGGCATACATGTTAGATTGCTTGATCACAAACATATCCAGAGAACACAGCAAACAAAGTCTGATTCTGAATCTTTACCAAAAATATCAACGGGACAACGGACTGGATTTTCTCAGAAAAGTCCAGAGTTCTTGCACAGCACAAAACAAAAACGATGCTGCAAAGGTAACGGCTCCGCAAACAAAACACACAAAGATAAAGGAAAAAGAATGTTTGGTGGTATTCCGTGCTATTTTCTTGCACGTGGGTTTTCGTCTGCTCTCAGGCTCTTCTTTTTCTTATTGTGAAAGAAGCGGCATATGATAGGGCAGTTCCTTATGCGTTTTCTTTCTTTTGTGCTTTTTTCTTTTTCTGTTTTTGCGGGCGAAGCCGCAACGGGTCATCTAGTAGGGATATAAAACGCATCCCTGACGGGCTGCGAACTCAGCAAGCGGGGTACAGCCCTGAACTCAGATTGAAAAAACATAATCAGATGGCCCTTTACAGAGCCCAGACTGGGCGGCAGACGACCGGCCGGTCGGCCCTACTGGTAGGCCTCAAACGGTCGGCGGTCAGTGTCAGCGATCGGCGGGTATGCAGCCATGCTCACATATGATTTTTTTCAACTCCTGCACCCCACATACATACATCCCCGAAGTGTGTTTTTTCTTCATCTTTCTTTTGCCTCATGTGTATCGCATGCGTCCAAGTTTGAGAAGAAGAGAGAAGCCTCTGTATGCGAAATGTTGACGAGGTCGTTCTGCTCCTGAGTCATCCTATCCTAGCCAACAGTAAAGATCGGACCTAACGAGGAATATATTTCACAAGCAACCTTAACTTTTCACCAAGTTCGGATTCTGGAAGCAATAACCAATGATTGATTCACACTTAGATGGATATAAGTGCATCATATATCAACTTAAGGAAGCTTAGGGCGCTTATTACACAATTATTTTTGAGCGCCAGAGCCCTGGCGGGGCAGCGCTGTGCTTAGGAGGGAAGGCGGCCATAGCCGCACAGCTAGTAGTAGGAGGTAGAGCTGAGTAGTAGCGGATGTCTTCAGAGTCGAGATTTTCAAGGCCGTCACCCTTCGGGAAAAAAAAAAAAAAGTGTTGCCGAAGGAAAAAAGTAAGGTGTTGGTCCACATGTTGCGCTAAGGCACATTTCCCTTTGCTCGGCCATGTGTGGACACAGGTATTCAAGTCTCCATACAGCTTGCGGTTCCCACGCTGTGAGCGGATTCGATATGACAAGGAGTGGTATGAGTGCCTCAGTGTGCAAGGTGGGTTTCCCTTTTTCCTTTTTTTTTTTTTATGTACGCAATGGGGCACTAGACCTAAGATTATTCTCTTCGTGTGACTCTGAATTTCTGATCATCCCATCCATCACGATTTAAATTTTGTAACAGATGATCTGTTTACTTACTCAGTTGTATGCGTGTGGATCAGCCACATTGGCTGGGTCACCTGGGTGCAAGCAATGTGGGTACTTCTTCATCTCCATAGTAACATGGTCCTTTTTCTGAATGGTCCTTTTTCAGAATGGCTTGTGACCGTTGTGCAAGGACAATGAGTGATAGCGAACTTCAGAAATCAAACAGCATCATACACATGAGACCAGATAGTTGTGACCTCGAACCAATAGCAGAATTGTATCATGAGTTCCACCAAATAAGAGCACAGCAAAAGCTCATAATTGACAATGCTGGAATAGTCTCATCATCATCAACGAAGAACCAATGCCGATATCCTATCTGGCGCTCGGCGCCCAGACTACAGATGGCAGATCCTATCTAGCCTATCTACAATGCCGCTGATGACGTCAACAGCTCCCCGAAGTACGAGCAGATCTCGGCCAATGCCGTTCGCCTCAAGCACCAGGTATGTCTCTCGTATCACTCACAACCTTGATCCCCAACTCACAGGTGCCACATGCACCCAAGAACCACCATGCGCCTCATCCAGCATACAGCAGTCCAGCTCGGGTATGGCTGCTTTCTCCTTCCAGCTCGCCCGTGAGCGCGTGAGCGCTGGCCAGCGCTTGCGCAGCATGCAGCCAGTGCCCGAATGCCTAATGCGTAGGCAGGCCCTTCCCTATATCGAAGTGGCCTGCTGCTGCATTCGGTCATGCGGTACTGGGCCTCGGCCCAGAAGCTTCCGGTAGGCCCCACGAGGCTGAGCCTCAGTTCAAAGGAAAAAAGGCCCATGGCCTGTGGTGGTTACCAGCGCCCAACTGTCCTCAGCCTTTGTTCGGTCCATGTTGTGTATCTGGCCCAAGGCCTGCCTCAGTTACATTCAAAAAATGCAGCCTCGGACTAGGCGCTCTCAACCAACTGGCGGTGCACAACTGCCTGAATTTCCCCAGTTGCGTGGTGACCCCAAAATTGGCCTGTAGGCCTCAGTCGAGCCTGCCTTCACTTAGGGCGGCCGACTATGTTGAAAATAGGGCCCAGTAGGGCGTATCGAGGCCTTGTGCCTCACAGTTGACCCTCTTGTACGTTATGAACCGTGGCTGTGTGGTTAAACCGCAAGAACACCGCCCAGCAAACTTTTTTTTTTTTTTTTTTTTTAAATAACACCCCCAGGTTTGCTAGGTATGCTGGTATGAGCAAACAGGTGTCCGCCAAGGTGAACTTGAAAATTGAAAACGAGTCATTTCGAAAAGTTCAGATGAAGAGTGCTACGGGACCAAAATGGCTGGCGGCGCCAGCCAAAAGAAAAAGAAAAAACATCACGCTGGCGGTTCAGCAAAGCTTGGCGCGCAGGGGGAACATCAGCAAAAAGAGGGTCGGATGTACTGGTGGTGGTTGAAGTTGCTGGAGACGACCACAAGATGGAGATGGCTCCTCTCCCTTGTTATCTCTATGCCCTTGGCAGAATGCAATGCCTTCATCACACGAAGATCTCTTTTTTTTTTTTTTTTTTTTAAGTGAACTTCGTATACGTGAAACCTACTTAACGAGGTGATAAAAGCATCCCCGATAAGTAGGCCCTGGTGTCGAAGGCTCCATCTATTGGTGGGGAGCTACACCTGCTGGAAATCAGGTCCAGCGTCCCTGTACAATGATGAAAATGTATCTGCTGGAAATCAGGTCCAGCGTCCGTATGCAATGGTGTGAATGTATGTGCTGGAAAACGGGTCCAGCGTCCCTATTTATCTGATATATAGAATCTCTAAAACAAACTGAGGCATCAATCCCATCAGGCGAAACCCTACCATGATGTGATGTGTATTACCATGATGTAATTTGTATCTGCTGAAAATCGGGTCCAGCTACCTATACCGTGTTGTGTAATTATGTCCACCAGTCAGAAACTGTCTATATATGTCTGTATTCTATATCCATCAAACTCAAATCACGAAACCCTAAACACGATATGATGCATATGATCTTTGTCAATCAATCCTAAAATCTCTATCAATGATGAGAGATGTATAATCTGGACATCAAGTCCAGTGTCCAATATGCATTATCATGTGAAACTGTCAGGGGGCATTGATTACTTCCCTGCGCTGGGAAGGGTTGACCTCCTGCTAACTAATCCCTAATCAGCCCACCACCAACCAACGGGACGATCAGCCCCCTCTTGATGATCGATATTGCAGGCCGGGCAACATCAATCACCCCCAGCTATCCTACTCCTATCCTCTGCCAAACAATGAGGAGGAATTCCACGTCGAGATTGGAGGGAAGATCTCACGACCAGACTATCAGAATATGATGGATCACCCTGAGTCTGCCAACCATACGTCCTTCGCTGCAGCTCGTTGCAGACAACCCTCACCTTATGACTTGGAAAAACTATACTGAAATGGGGTTCTGGTCATCCAACTTTTTTCGTTTCTTTTCTTTGTTTTTTTGTTTTTGTTTTTTTTTGGTTGTGTTTTTTTTTTTTTTTTAAGTGAATCGTCTGGTGCTTCTGAATACGATGTTAGGAATCTTTTCTTCTTCTTCCCTTTTCCCTTTTTTTTTTAATAGCAATCTTTTCTTCTCTGTCCAAGCACTTGGGTATTGCAGTTTAAGCAATCGCGAACATCAAGGTTAAAAAATATGTGAGGTGAGAGAAAAACATATGGCTGTCCCCCGATGAGGAGAAGGCAGCAGCTTTATTATCAAAAAAAAAAAAAAAAAAAAAAAAAAAAAAAAAAAAGAATAGCGGGTGAGTTGTTACACCATTGGTGCAGGTGGCTGCTTACGTGACACAATTTTGTGAAACCACCAGTTGGCCAGAAGCCAAGCTGTCTTTTTACCTGGGGTACCGAGGGGGTGGGCAAAATTCAGAGTACCCTTACATTGGTGATTTTTAATTCTAATTTCCGGAGACATAAATTTCCCAAAAAAATCGGGGATGTTGCTCAGGTTACTCTGCATTAGAGGGATCATATTTAGAAATAAACACAAATGATTTGACAGCTTTGGCCGATTAAAAGTATATATATTCACACCAAACCGAATGCTGTTCCAAGCTGGGTAGGGCCGGGGGGTGGCTGGTTCGTGAACTGAGCCTTGGGTTGAACTGGTGGTTTAATGGAAATCAACTTTGTTTTGAACATCATTTCAATCAAGGCCTTCTTCCTTTGTGTCACCAGGAAGTACCGACTATCTCATCATCCGAAGATAGATTTTCTCACATGTAATCAGTCGTTGAGGCAGGTAGCGCATGTATCAACACATTTACGGCATTTTTCCGCGCTGATTGTCGACACTGACGGGTTCATATTCATGACATTATCTGCTTGTTTCGGGTACGTGGAGGAGGTTCACCACCTATGGTCAGGTCTGTGTCTTTGATGCTGGCTGATATATGCATCCATCCAACTGGTACACGCTTCTAGATTCCTCGCAAAATTTCCGGCAACGACTTGGCGCCAATCAAATAGTCCATGAGAGGAAGGGGGAAAGGGGGAGGGGAAGAAGTATTGCCTCCCCTGCTTTTTAGTAAGAAGGTAGGGGAAGAAGTATTGCCTCCCCTGTTTTTTAGTAAGAAGTGAGGGGAAGAAGTAGTGCCTCCGCTCCCTTAGTGTCGCTATCGACCCCGGGTCATCTAGTAGTTGCAGCAAGATGGACGAACAAAGTCAGGATAACGTACTATCCATCCACGTGTTCAAAGGAAATCTGAAACCTGATACCTGTATGTGTGTGCACCAGGTCCCATTTCCATCCATTGCTCCGTATACCAGGTCCAACTTAATGGACCTGGTTCAAAATGTGCACCAGGTCCAACTTAATGGACCAGGTTCACAATGTACCAGGTCCAACTTGATGGACCTCAATGTTGATCAAAACCAAGGCAACGTTCCATCCCTCCTCGTATATCAGTTTGGTTGTACCACGTTCAGAAACCAAATACACAGCAGCAGGCTAGCTGCTCATGTGTTCCTAGCAAGACAGACATATGTACGCCTCTCATCTGTAATCGACAGTGAGATTGCAGATGTGTCAGCAAGGAAATGTTTCTTACAATTTTGAGCCAATGGTGCAAAGAGTGTGCAAGGTGCCTAGGCCCTTGGTGGCGCCCAGCAGGTGCTACCCACATCAAATTGACCTGGCCCTAAGGAAGACCGGGCATGCTATAATGAATCCGGGCCCTAAGGGAAGGCTCAGGCATTCAAAAGTAACTGTCGGGGCAATAAAGTAATGGCCCAGGCATAGCCAGAAGCTGGTGGAAGCTGTTCGGAAGCTTTCGGTACCTGAAAGAACCACTTGATGACGCAACTGTGATGTGGCATACTCAGTTCTACACGGGCCCAGCAGGGCCCGACCAGGTAGGCTAGGGGTTAGTAGAGTGTAGGGTCTGTGTCGTTTCGGCCCACAGTAGGGGCCCGTAGGGTCGGTAGGCCAGTTTAGGCCTGAGCAGGACTGGTACCAGTTAGAGGCCCTGTAGGCCTCGTTTCGGCTACAGGCCCTGGCGCGCGTTTTGGCGCCAGACCCTGATTCAGAGGCCGCGCCGTGTCAGTAGGCGCTTGGCCGATTGAGGCTCAGCCTCAGTTTGGGCGCCAAACTTTCGAGGCCCAGCCTCAGTTCGGGCGCCAGACTCAGCCGCTGAGGCCGACCCAGCGCTATATATAGCTGGGTCCAGCCTCAGTCCGACATTGAGTAGAGGATTGAGCAGAGTCTCTCTTCGGATGACGTCCGGTAGTAGTTGTCGACGATAGGCCTAGTCTTCCAGCACTGGGCGCTGATAGAGTTTAGAGTAGCGCAGGGAGGGAGAGATGGTGATGGAGACCAGGGGACTTACCTGAGACTTACCTGCGTGGCCATCGCTCCAGCTTCGTCTTCAGCACGTCCATACCTGCATCGCAGGTCAGTACCGGTTACGAGAGAGAGAGAGAGAGAGAGAGAGAGAGAGAGAGAGAGAGAGAGAGAGAGAGAGAGAGATCTTCTTCTTCCTCCTCCTATCCACCACCTTCTTCTCTCCCCTCCAGCGCTCTACCTCTTTGTCAGACTGTGTGTGTGTGTGTGTGTGTGTGTGTGTGTGTGTGTGTGTGTGTGTGTGTGTGTGTGTGTGTG